GCTTCACAAAAGATAGCATGAATCACCAAGTTTCACAATGATATAATTCAACATAGGGGAAAGGAATTAGTAATAGATAAAACAGCTGGAAAATCCATATCTTGGTCTATGATAATGTATGAATAAAACATAGGCAAAGAACCAGATGCAAAATTTTCAGATGTCACAACAAAACTCAACTTAAACAATGTGATGCTCTAAAGACTACCACCATATTGGGTAGCATAACTCATATGGATGAAACAAGTCTAAGCTCCAGGAACCTCGGCCTCTGCCTCAGCTACTGTCTCTTCAGCTGGCCGATCCAACTTCACACCAACATCTTCTGAATAGTCACCATGAACCTATGACGAGAACTCTCAATCAATAACCAAACAATTACTGCTATACAATATGAAAATGACAGTAAACTTCACAATGCATATATTGTCTACAGCATATGATGAACAGATAGATAATATACCTCCATCAGCTTGCCTAGGTCAAATTTAGGGGCCTTCAGGATCTTGACCTTTCGAATATAGACATTTTGTAGGGGGAAGATGCTGGAAGTTGCTTTTTCAATCTCCCTGCCAATTGATTCAGGGATGAATTTTGCAACTAACTCCTTCAAATCACAGGAACTTGCTTGGTTCCTCATAATCTCAACCATCTTCCTGCGGATCTACAACACAAGATGACGATTCATGTCAGCAACCAAAAATGAACTTCGCAAGACATGAAGACAACAATAAGCATATATGTTCGCATAGGTGCAGACCAAGCAAAAATACTATACCTGACGAATCTGGCTGCTCTGGGCGTAACAGGTACGCTTCTGCTGGTTTGGACGCTTCTTTGTAAAAGCAATACAGAACATCCTTAGAGTATAGCTGTCTGTAGTCTTGACATCAACATGGGCCTCAATCAAAGTCTGCCATTTGCGGACCAGAGACCTCAACTTATCTGTTGTGAAATCCATTCCCTGTAATTACATAAAAAAGTTAAGCTCAATATAGTCAGTCATATGTGACGACTCTGAAACAGAGTGAACAAAAGATTGACTAAAAGGAACATCTTACATGGAAGTTTGTGAGAACATTCCTCCCTTGCACATCTTCTGCTCTCAAACGGATTTTCCTGAAAGCCTGATCCTCATCCTTCTGAAGATCAGCCAGGCTAACTTCAAATACTCTGTGTTTTAGGCCCTCTGAAGCAATCTGAAAGGAATATCAAACAATTATTCCCATCAGAAAAAGCACTAACAATTATAACTTGTTTATACCAAGAGATGAAAAACCCAAGTTCCATATATAAGAATACAACATACCCAGTGCCTTTATCTAAGAATAAGTTCTCTGTTTTTCAAGGGTGGTGGAGTTAGAAATCTCACAAGTGGCAGATATCACAAAACAAATCAAAACAGTGTAAAAAGCTAGTGAAAAACTTCTCTACATATATGGTCAGCATACAAACTTACAAGGAAGCGAGGAAGAAACAGATGGCAACAAAGTAATTGACATCCCAAAGTTCAATAGATATGAGTTACAGAATCACAATGGCACATCATAACCTCAAATGAAGGAACTTGATAGCAAACTACATATATCAAAGTAAAAGTTCTTGCACTCGGTGAGAGAAACATTGTAAGAAGGCAAACCATCCCTCTCCAACTAGCAACATTAATTATAAAATAAAAAAACCTCACTGGTAAATTCAAGATGAATTGACAATAGAACAAATTTCTGACCAAATTTCTCACTCTTCATGTTTAGCGATATACAAAGTAACAAGCAGTCAATAACCAGCATTTCTCCCACATTCACTCATCATAAGGATGTATATCTTCTCATTAATTAGTCAACATTGTACATCAGAACTAAACAGAATGCAAAAAATACTCAAAAGAAATAATACTACAATATAAGCATCAAAACACAATATCAACAGAATCACAAAGGAAAACAAAAAAAAAAAGGGGAAGGGAATAAATACCTTGGTACCCTGAGTCCTGGTAACAAGGGTTTTGCCGACGTTCTTAATTTCAAAAACAGATGGTGCCTTGATGTCGTACCAGTCCTTCTTTGCGTAAGGATCCGCCCTGCCAACATTCACACAAATTAGTAAACCACATTACACATACACCCAGAAGGAACCAGGATTTCGGTGTTAGTACTACTTACGCCTTCTTCTTTCCTCCCTTCTTTCCCTTGGAAATCCTCTTGTTCTTGCTGCACAATGAGACAATAAAACAGCATTAGAAATTACAAAAAGGAAGAGAAGAAGAATCAGGAATAGAGCGTGAGAGTTAAAGCGATATACCCGACGGCCATGTTGGGAAGAAGAGATTAGCGCTGCTTTGGGGGGTTTGGGGGAAGGGGATGAATGAGGCGAGGCTAGAGAAGCTGCGGAAGAGAAACCCTAGTTTCAGTGAAAGAGTGATGAAAGGCCTTAAACATGCTTATATATATGTTGGAATGAGAAAATCGGCCACTGGTTTTAGGTTTAATTACGATAATACCTTCTATCCCCTGCATTTCTTTTTTTATTTTATTTTGGGAGGAGGAATAGTTATTTTTTTACGAACAAAAAAAAATGTCAAAGTCCAAAATAAAAAATGACATTTTTACATAGACAGGTATTTAATTTGGCGTTCAATTTTGAGATACATCTAAACAAATATGCTAACGTGATATATATATATATATATATATCTAAATGTCTAAGATAGCAGAGGTAAGTTGAGATGTTTTTAGATGTGTACTGTCAAATTTAAAATACTCATTCACTTACCTATTAAGATCAAGTTTGATTGTTATCTTTATTGTAGTTATATTTTCAAACTACTTTATCAAATTAGAAATGAAATGTTTTGGGAGCCTTTTTTACTTGTCTCAAATTGTCATTTGGCATGCACACCCAACTTTGTCAATGGAATATTTAAACTTTTTTAAACTTTAACATTTTAAATTTCTTTTCCATCTTATCAGTGTGTTTGTAATACAAACCACTACCAGGTTGTTTGGTAGGGAGTATTAGGAGAAATAGTTCATGTATTATGTATGGTATTATTTCGTACCATGTTTGGTAGGAATTTTGGTCCTTATATAATTAATCCATGGATTAGATATACAGCACACATGATATTATATGATGTATTACTAATACCTCCCATTTGGTGGTATAGCAATACATAGGTTTTAATACCATGGAATTATCTATGTAAAGACAAAAATATCCCTCAAATTCTTTTAATCATTTTATTTATTTTTTTGATTTTATATTTTATATTTACATTAGTAAATTTATTTAAATAATTTAGCTTACAAATTTGATTATTTTAAAAGAGTTGTTTGTTGTTCAAAAGATCACTCAACTTTGAGAATTTATCAAGTAAAATCACATTGAACTTTGTTTTGTGTCGATAAACTCATTCAACTTAGATATTTCTATCAATAAAACACTCAATTAAATTTAACTTCAAATGTAGGATATTAAGGCAAAAGAAATTATTTTGCATGTAATAAAATTATGGACCCAACGAAGAAATTAAATATTTAGATTAAAAAGGACTCAAATGTTAAAGTGGAATTTCTAACTAATTTGAAATTCCATCTATTCTTTTAAATTTTTTTAATAACTAGGTTTGTAAATAAGATAAGCTGAGAAATAAAGCAATGGATTGTCTATAACACACTATAATGTGTATCTTAAAAGGAATCGAAACAGAAAACATCCTCAGTGTTACTGATTTTTTTCAAACGACATTGTAATTATAGCAACACGTCATTTATGAAAAGAAAAATAAACAAAGTGATAACCTTATTTAATTTCAAAGCAATTGAATTTTGATAATTTGAGCTCTAAAAATTTAGTAATAAGACTCTCAATTATAAAAATAATATTGTCCAATAGTTATCTATCTCGGCCCAATTAAATAAAATAGAAAATTCTATAACAATTCAAGGGTATAATTGGTAAGAAACTTTTGTAAAAGTTTTAATCCAAATCCAAAATTAGGTGGAAAGCAATTAACCAAACACTTGATAAAAATAACCTCTGCATTACGAATTCTAGTATTACTAATCTCTGCATTACTAATCCCTTTGTTATAATACTTTGTACCAAACGACCCCTACATGTTTTATTCCCCAACATTTTTTAATGACATATGTGAAATAAAATATTAAAAAATTAATCAAATAAGACATTTCTTCAAATTCTAAAAAAAAAAAATCAACAACGTTATTCATATTTGCTCGTAAGTTTGAGCATCAAATTCATTTTACTGTTCTTCAAACTTCTGCACTATTATTAATTGAATTTTTGAATCTTTCAATATCCCCATTATCGCCCTTCACATTTGACCAATACCCACGCCCCCAATTTGAATCCAACCACAAATGGTGGTCTCAATGATCTTTGAGATAGAAAATTTATGTTGATTTATTGCTATTTCAATTTTGGTGTTGAGGTGAAATAACAGCTTAAACACAACTCCGAACGTGTACTAAAAGTTAATTTTATTATGATCGAACGTCTACTAAAAGTTTTGAGAGATTTAATAAATTTCTAGTTTGCTCATCACTCGAAGGTGTTGTCCTTTTTTACTTTTAAATTGAGGAATCATGTTCTTGAAGTTCATCAACTATATGTATTCTTAACATAATAGCTTCTTTTTTTAAAAAAAAATAATACTTTCAAATACTTTTTAAAAGCTTGACCAAATATTAACTACCATACAAAAAATTCTCACCAAAAGCATTTTTTCAAAATAAGCTGATTTTAAATATGGAGCTGCATTTTCACTACTCATGATTTATTTTATCTCCCAATTATATACATCTGCATTGAGTGATATACTTTAGATATAAATATAGCTATCCACTAATAATAAACTGGCTTTTTGGATGATTAGAGTAACTAAAAATAAATTCTGAGATTCTACATCATAAACACAAGTATTTTGAATCAAGTTAAAAGACAACAATAAATGAAAACAAGAGTTGTGAAAGTCCTATAAGCACAAGAAAGAGGTCAAAGTCACTATACACCAATCCAGTCAGATATATGAAAGAGATTGATTTATTCATGATCTACAATATGAGATGAGAAGTGCATTTAGAGGTTTACAAGTCTAGTTGGAAACCATGCTTTCAGTTTCTTGCACGAAACCATCTCCTGTCCAGTCTTTGTCTGATTGTAAACCTTTCTTAACCGCTTTCCTTTGACGTATTGCTTCTTGCTGCCTTCTCACCAAATCCGTGTGAGTCGTGAAGTACTCAAGTGACGTTCTGCGCATAACACAAATTTAAATTGTAAACAAGAAATTCTTATCGTTATAAGTTACTACGTAAGTACGTATAGCTTTATGCAGTAGCACTGGGAAGCTCAAACTTGAAGTGCTGGGACAAGTTAACAGAAACCATATAAGTGGATCTTATAGGGAGAAAGTTCAGAACTTACTAGATAATGCAATCTAGTTATTGATATTCCAGCTGAGCGTTAATTCTATTCTTTCTACGTTTACATGGATCTAATGTCTCCAAGTATGTGTGCGCGCACGTGTGAGAGAGAAAGAGAGAGAGATTACCCTCTGAAATCTTCTATTGATGAAAAATTGTGCTTTCTCATGAAATCTTTCAGCTCAGAGCACAACGTTTTCACAAGTCCATATCCATGCATCATGACACCAGTACAAACCTACATAATAAACCAATAAAAGATTTTATCATTCCAAGATAATGCCATGCTAAAAAGGATGGAAGTGGGGAAAAGAAAGGAACAAACAAACAAATTAAGAGGAGTAGCCCATGTCTCTTCTCCATTTTACCGAAATATCATTAAATTGTTTTGAGAGATTTCTCACTTGTGTTAGATCGCAGCTCAGAAGAAATTTTTATTTAGTAAAGGTCAAAGGGGACAAGGAAAAGTCCTAAATTTGGTTTAGTCACAAACATACAGTAAACGGTCAATTTCTAATCCAACCTGTACAGTATCTGCTCCGAGAAGAATAAACTCAGCAGCATCACCACCTGTCTCGACTCCCCCAATAGCAGAGAGTGAATAGTCCTTATCTCCAAATTCTGACTTCATCATCCGTGCAATGTCCATTACTTTTGCTAGGGCAATTGGGTGCACTGCCTTTGATGAGTAGCCTCCAGGAGTAGAGTAGCTAAGGAAAACAGTAGAAAATGAATTGCCGGAATCATAAAAGCAGAAAATTTTAATTCAGCATACTTCTCAATGTAGAGATACTAACCCCTCAACACAAGGCTCGGGCCTCAAGGTGTCAAGATTGATTCCCATTACACTCATGATTGTATTTATAGCAGATACCCCCTCGCACCCTTGGTTAAGAGCCACCCTAGCCGGCTACAATCCAAGAAGAAGAAATAAGAAACACAGCGAAGAAATAACTTTTACATGAAAGAATGTTGATAACTTGTTGGACATGAGTGAATAACAAACTAGTGGGAGGCCATAATTACAGAAGGGAAGTGAAGTGAAGATGGTTTAATCCAGACATAGAGACTATTAATGATAAATATATCACTTCATTTCAAGCCAAGGTGGTCTACTTACACGCCAAACTAATAATCATCAAACAGCTCCAAAGAACTCACAATCACACTTCCCAAGTCCTTAACAGTCATTATCGACCTCATTCAAAATTGGTAAGGACTCTACAATTGGAAAGTGCAATAGAGAGACATTGAAACAAAACCAAGCTTAATCTCCAAACAAGTAAAGGGGTCACAAATGGTGCAAGATAGAATGATCCAAAGAAGAAATTACACTATGTCATCAGGTTGATTTAGGGAGGAATGAGGCACACTCCGTCTTCCAAAAAACTAACAGCATATGCAAGCTCCACAATGCAATTTCCCCCTAATTTAGGGTTAATATGAGAACTTTTTAGTAACAAATGAAGATTATAGATGATGTATAGGAGAAGTTATGACCTTCATGACATATGAAATAGGTTCCTGGTTTGAACATTTTAGCGATCTATCAGCTTTGTTTTATAAATGCTATAACGAAATACCTTGGTAATGTCGGTGATATTAGGGGTCATCTTTGCCCAAACTGGAACTGTGGCTACAGCATTGATCCATCCGCAAACCTCCTCCAAGAGATCACAATCTTGACCAACAGCAGCACCCATTCTACGTTCTGGCATACCATGGGGACACGAGAAGTTGATTTCAAAGGCATCCTGTAAAACAGTATCAATATAGAGAGAGTCATAAAAACTAAAAAGAGAATCAATACGACAACACTACTATAATGCAGAACAAAATCTTATCCGTTAAGTCCCATATGCTTACAATTCCAGTTTCCTCACATCTGTAAATAAGTTCCTCCCAAGCAGCTTTGTTGTATTCTTCCATGATAGAAGCAATAAGTATCCTATCTGGATACTCTTCTTTCAATTGCTTGAACTCTTTCAGCATTGTTTCCAGAGGTCGATCACTAATGAGTTCAATATTCTGCCACCCAATAATTTGTCCTTTGGCAGAACCATTTGCATCTGCTCTTAGTTTAGCATATCTTGGGGTCACATTTTTAACTTTATCTGCTTCCAAAGACACCTGAAGGAAGAAAAAATAATTAATAAAAAAGGAAAGTCTTTCTTCTCTGCTCTTTTCACAACAGAAATAAGTAAAAAGTGTTGATCTCACTTTTCAGTCAGACAAAAACATTCTTTAAAAAAGTAAAAAGAGCTTACACACTTTTCAGTTACAATTCTTCCCTCTATTTCAATTTGTTTGTCCCATTTTGACTTGACACGGAGTTCAAAAAAGTGTAGAAGACTTTTGAATCTTGTGTTTTAAATTAAAGATTAGTACAAAATGTCATTTAATCTTTGAGCTTTTAAACATCTCATATGAAAAGTTGAAATTAAAGAATTGTTAAACAAGGGAGGAGACATTCTTTTTTTAAGAACTAAAAAGCAAAGTAAGACAAACAAATTGAATCGGAGAGAAGTACTATTTACAGTTTACTTGATCTAGAATCAGCACATGCAGAACTCCATAACAAGTTAAATGATAACTCCACACATACTGATCCAAGACCCTACATAGATGATCTCAGGGTGGATCCAATGTTATGGTACCTGGTTTATATCAACCAGGTACTTTCGACGCAGAGCATAAATTATGAGTAAATTTTACTAAAATTGCAACAAATTTAAAGTACAATGGGTTCAATGCAAAGAACCTTAAAGATTGAACTAATAGAATTTAAATCCTGAATCCACCTTTGAATATGATCTCCAATCTCAGAAGATCTATAAGTTCATGTCATTCTCCCAAATGTTGAACTAACTTTACTTGAGCAGTTGGCATACTCAATTAGATGCAAATCAACAGCTCAATTTAGTTTCTTCATTTTAGTCTTCCTACTTAATCAGACTTTGATAAAAAGATAGGAAGTACTACTAACAGATAACAGAACAACTGGCACTAGATCCACCACTGAAAAAAATATTGGATTAAAAAAGGATCCATGAAAGAAGTACTACTACAAAAGTCGAATAAAGCTTTACCGTTTTGGCGATAACACCACCCCAGCCTTCATCAAAGGCTCTCTTCATCACTGTATAGTTGGTCCCTGGTGGACCCGACCCAATAACAAATGGGTTAGGCATTTTCAACCCGTTAACAGTTACACTTAGATCGGGCTCCACAGACTGGCCCTCTGAGGCCATAACTCTGAACCCAACTCGTTTTTTACCGAAATTCAACCGACCCATCATCGGGAATTCAACACCCGAGTTCCCATCAAGTCCAATTCTGATTCTTTGAGCCAATCCAAGAGACGCCATAGCTGGGAGAAAATTAAAGAAGTTGGTTTTTGACTCAGTTGAAACTGGGAACAGAGAAAAAGATGAAAATGAATATCTAGGAATCTGAGTTGGGAGAATAAGAAATTGTATTTAAATAGCTGTTGATTGGAGTTATCTGGTTGTAGTTTAGGAGAAGATATCAAGAGAAAAAAAATCGTTTTTATAAAAAAAAATTATAGATCAAGATTCACAAGTGACTTTTTTCAGTTTTATGAATATTGAAAATTGATCATGGAGATGATCTGTGGAAGCTGAAGGTTCATTATTTGTGGATATTGGGTTTAAAAAAAAAAAGAGGAGTTGACGGAAGTGGTAAGAAATTGGATAAGGGAATTATGAGTGTTGTGGTGGAATAGAATACCAGCATTTTACTATCACTTTTTGCATGACTTTTACTTTTTAACTTAATTATTAGTTTTATATTGACCGTCTTAAAAATAATTTTCAATTTAATTAATATAATTTAAGGCAGAATAACCCTTAATATTTCCTTTCAGGTACCTCAACTATGCGATCTTCCTATTGAACTCTTGAACCGTCCATAATTTATACCTTTTAAATATTATTGACTGACATGGCACAAAATGTGTTCTCACGTCACTTGAGCGCGTGAAGACATTTTAAAAAAATTGATGTGGAATCCACGATTATCTTCTTGCCCTTTTTTGTCTAAACAACCTAATTTTCCCCCTCTTCCTCTTATTTCTCTTCTCTATTTCGTTATTGTCATTTTTAAGTTGGAGCTTCTCAAAGTATCTCTCTTCTTCAACGATTTCTTCATTTCTTGCCGCAAAAAGTATAATAAAATTAAAATTACTACCAGCACTTACCAAAGTAAGCTTTGGAAGGTGTTCAACAGTTGGTGAATCTCCTTTGCAAACTTGGTTAACTTTTTCACGAACTTCATCCTGCCAAAAGTCTTGCATTCATTCATAATAAGCTGCAAATTCAAGCTAAATTTGTTGCTTGATCGTTTCTTTTGCACCTCATTTAGTAATATTCCTAACAAATCATTCCCATTTGAGTTGTTTTGCCCAATTTCTACACGATCTTTTCGACTTTGTATTATTTCGAAACCTTAGGATTTTAGTTGTAAATAGCATAACTATGTCACTAGATCATTGAAATCACACCAATTTCTTAGTTTTTTTCTCATCTACAAGAACATTTGGGTCATATCAAAGTGGTATTGTGGGAAAAATGAAGTGACTTTTGGTTTATTAGGTTTTATTTGGGTTTTATTTTAGATTGGCTGATGTGTAAATTATTTAAATGAGTGGAATGTTTTGATTGGTTGCTTTTTCCACGTGGAAAATGTGGATTTCAAGCACACAACCAAAAAAAATACATTTGTTGAAGTTTTGTGGCATGTCGCTAAGTGTGTTTAAAAGTTACAAATTATACATGGTTCAAGAGTTCAATAGGAAGATGGCTTAGTTGAGGTACCTGGAAGGAAAACCTCAACAAATTTAGGGGTTTGTTTATGTATTCCGCCATAATTTAAATACACTTCTGATCTATCATATCACATAGCAAATGATCTCAAACCCTTGTAGGAACACGAGACTCTTAATAAAAACTACGAGAAGTGTTGAAAACACCTCAAAATTTGGCAAGAATTTAGTGGTGTATCTCACCAATAAGTTTAATTATTCAAGTAGATGACTAATTTTAAGATGATCAATAGTTCGAGCACAAAATCAATAATTCACACCAAGCTTAGAAATGCTAACAATTTCTTTGAAGAAAATTCAGTAAGTAGCTCTACTTTAGAGTGTAATCGCGAAACATAGCTATTATTTATGTATTTACCTATGTAATGTTGCTATAATTGTTGTATCAAAGGTAAAAGGCTAGTTATTTGTATTCAAGCGACGAATTTTTGTGATCTTTATAAAAAATAATTTAATCTTCCAGTTTTATTAAATCGAAACTTCGTTAAGAATAAATATTATTTTTACCCTCCACACACCTATTAGTGATGACACGAAGGAGTTGGTTAATTCGTTTATGTACTTGTAATTCTATTTTATGTGGTGTATTATATTAGCTATATAAGAGAGCTTAATATGTCATATTATTGACTAAAAAGATGTTTAAATAATTAACCAGCTGAAAGATTAGATGCCAGATGGGATCAATATTTTCTAAAATTAAATAAATAGTGGAGCAAACATTGCTCCTAATTTATTGCAGCAAAGTTTTGATCTTGTGATCAACCTAGTAACATGCATAGCAATATTTTAGTGTTTTTTTGTTTTTTTCTTTTAATATTAGATTTCTATTTAATATATCAATAATTGAGATGAGTATATATCTAGTTTAACCCTTTAATCTTCAAGGTGGAATATAGCATTATCTTCACCTGTACTATACGTAATACTAATATTTTCATTGAGCTAAAAGTCAACACAAAAAGTACGGTATAAAATGCACAAAATGATCTTTTAGTTATTATGTGAAAGGCAAAATCATCCTACTGAGATTTTTGGTTCAATATTTTTTAATTTTGTGGTCATTATATTTAAATATGTGAAATTAAAGTATTACCTAAAAAGATGTTAAAAAGAAAACATGACATACAAATTGAAACAAATAAATTACTTTAATAAGTTATCTTTCCACAATTATCATTGTCTTTTAAAACTAACCCTTTTTTGGTATATTTATCGAGCATTTAGAACCTAGTAATTTGATTAATCAAGGTTCATAAAACCATTTGAAGAAAAATATTCTCTATTAGGTTGTTCTATATTTGAATTCAAGACATTTAATTGATGACTCAAATTTTCTATTGACATCCCTTAAATTTTCTCTCTCTTGTTATTTAAAGTTTTCTATGTGAGAACTGAAAATTAAAATTATTTTTGAAGGAGGTGAGAGAGTAGCTGAGTTGGTTGAGGTCTTTTATCCTTCGCATGTGGTAGATGGATCGAATCCATAATATTGGGACTAATTTGGTCATATTGTTTGTATACAATTAAAAAATGTATTTACTCATTGACAAATATATCCAGAAAATTAGTTTTCTGTACTAGCCCGTGCGATTTTTTTATCCTCTTCTCATAGGGTATTTGGATTGACTTAAAAGTTGGTCAAATCTATTTTTAAGTCAGTTTTTGACTTCTGAAAGTGTTTGACAAATATTTAAAAAATAGTTCAAAATAAGTCAAAAATAACTTAAAATAAGTTAGGAAGTGTTTGACAAGATCAGAAATGACTTATAATAAGTTTAAAATGACTTAAAATAAGTCGAAAATCAAAAGTAGATCTCCCCCTACTTATTATTTTTTGACTTAAAAGTCATTTCGGTGTAACTTTTCATTTTTAAGCTAATCCAAACGGACGCATCATGTTTTACTCACTATGAATATGAATATGAATATTACTCTAAAGGATAATCTCGAAATTGAATATTTGTGAACTTATTCACAACAAAAAAAAAAAAAAAAAAGAGAGAAAATATTTGTGCACTTGGGCCTAATTCTCCTGGTGTGCTCTTTAGCTTTGACATGAGTCAATATCGTCTAACTTCATTCAAAAATGAAACTTGCATTTTAAGTTCGGTCTGTTGACATTCAATTGGACCTGGATACACTCGTTACAGCGTATAGGTGCTAGATGAATTATGAAAAACTTGCATAAATTTCACTAGTTTGAGAGTTAATTACTTAGATACATTCTATTTTGTAATATTATTATGTATCTTATCAGATTTTTGATCGTATAGATACATTTAGATATATCCAGATACATATGTTTGGGGATACGTGGGGTAAAAATTAGGTGTAATTTGTTCCAGATACATTGTATTCAAGTGGATTCACATGTATATGAGATACATAACAAATCTCTCTCGCCTCTCTCCCATCTTGCTCGCCACTCGCCCATGTATCTGGTGCGAATCACATAAAATACATATAAATATATGTATCTGTGATTCGTATGTATCTGGATATATATGAATCTCGCTCGCCTTTCTCTCTATTTTTGTGTATCTGGTTGTAAAAATACATGTATCTAAGTACATTTTTCTTAATATATAATAGAGAATCATAATTCATAATAAGATATGTGATTTTTTAAAAGTATAAATAATCATAATACATATGATACTGATGTATATCTAATTATATAATTTTTCCTTACAACTTACAAGAAGCCTAAATAGGCGGGCCTTCCATTATCCCCCCCCCCCCCAAAAAAAGCCCATTAATGTGGCTGCGGCCTAGCTACATAGTAACTAGGGCAAACTACATAAATTCCACTAGTTTAAGTCCTAATTACTTAGATTCCCGATAGTTTTAGATATTACTTCCTCTACCATATTTCATACTTAGGATACATGAGTTTAAATCTGTGAGATACATGTATCTGCCGAATTTTAAATTGAGATACGTATTTTATTTGTTTAAATTAATAGGTTGTAACTGATTTCCTTAATATAAGGCGGAAATCAAGGAGTGTATCTATGTTTAATTAATTTCATTTTATTATTATTTGAAATAATAAATTCGTTAATATTATTAATAAAAGACAAAAACATGTATATCTCGGTCATGCAATTTGATTAATTTCATTTTATTACTCTTAAAATAATAAAAATTCATTAATTTGATGTATCTATTATCAATATATGATGTATCCAATAAACTAAACACTTAGATACATGAGTATCATACAAGTACATTCATATGTATCATAGAAGTATCTAATATTAATTTTGTGTATATGTTATATGTGTCTAATATTAATTTCATGTATCTATTTATATGATCTAATTTAATTTCATGTATCTTTTATATGTATATATTATTAATTCGATGTATCAACTATCAATTTCATACATTTTATTCAAAATCATGTATCTCGGATACATAGTAAACGCACATATAATTATGTGTATCTAAATATGAAATGTAATTGAAACACACGAATTTAAGAACAAATCACGATTGTGGAATATGTCTTATATTAATCCAAAAAAAAGTTAAAAAATTCAAATTTCTCTGTTTCTTTAAGGATCTGAAATTTTTCTCATAGATGCATATAATCTTAACTCAGATACATGAACTCTTAACTAGATACATGTACACCTGATGTGTATCCAACATTGTTGCACTTGATGTACATCTAATGGTGTACTTTTTTCTCTTAATTAAAGCTTGGCGTAATTCTTCATCTTGATTAAGACATTCCTATACTTAGATCTATTCTCGACTTGAATGTTGGCGGATGAAGAGTCAGTTCCTACAATGAGAAATTGATGAGTGAAAAT